GTGAGCAAAAAATATGTAAGATGTGATTTTGTTAAAGGTACTTCATACCTTATAATGAAAGTTAAATCCAAATACAAGTAATGCACCAAAGTCTTATGGAGACAGCTACTCTCTGTCTGGCCACCTCGGTACTGGCAGAGAAATAAGGTTTGTAGTAGATTTCACTGGGCTGAAGTGTGAGTTGCACAATTTATGACCTTGTTCTATAGGAATCACATTCCTCATTTTTAGTATTCTCAGGTTTTAGGCTTGTATCTGTCATCCTCAATTTAGCCAATGAGTTAAAATTCATTGGCAAATGTTCCAAAACTGAATGACTACATGAATACATTGCCCTGGCCTTGGAAGTGTCCCCAAGCAAGTGAGGGGCCCTAAATCATAAGCTCCATCAGCTTTATAGTAAATTGACCTTTGAGTCCTAACTACCAGTTCTGAGCCTGCCAGCTGGGGCCAGGACAGGCCAACCAAGGGCTCAGAGACTGTAGCTGAGTCTTGTTCTTTACTTTCCAATTGGATTATTCCAAATTACAGAGAGGATTTTATTAGGGAATACTAATTTTTGCTGTGTACAAGACAGCTTCAATGAGTGTCTTCTTGAATTTTTTTGTTTATAGATTCTCAGAGCTTTAGAAAAATTCTCCCATTAAAAACTAACATATAGTTAACTCACATGTGTTTTTTTGTTATTCAGAATGTAATGAGTCAAACTTAATGTTCATTGATAAAGGATGTCAAGTGCCGTGCTCATTGTGGCTCAGTTGGTTGATTTTTGTCCTGCAAAGTGAAAGGTTGCTGGTTCTATTCCTGGTTAGAGCAGTGCTTGGGCTGTGAGCCTGATCCCTGGTGGCGCATGTGCAAGAGGCAGTTGATTGATGTTTCTCCCCCTCTCTTCTTCCCTTTCCCTCTCTCTAAAAATAAATTAAAATAGAGACTTCTGCCAAAGATGGAGGCATAGGTGGATGTGCCGTGCCTTCTCACACAACCAAGTTTAGAGACAACTAAATATTAGCAACAGAAAACAGAGCCAGAACACGGAAAATTGAACTTTTCGGAAGTCCGTTAACAACAAATTCTTCAGCCTGACCGGTAAGGGGCGAAACCAGAGGCTGGTGAAGCGGGATTGCACAGGAAAACTCGGTCAGACGGACTCAGGCGTGGAATCCAGGTGCAGGGTTGGACCTAGTGAGCGACCGAGCGAGCGACCAGGCGAGCGACCGTGGGGGAGACAGCGGGGGAGCGGTCCTGCGTGTTGACTGTGGTCACACATTTGCACACAGGTGGACAGGCGAGGGAGTGGGCGATTGGACCGGGACCCAGCTGGTCCCCGCGGCAAGCGGCAGGGAGAGCACCGCCATTTCCCTGCTCTGACCCCACCTCCACATACAGCGTCATAACCCAGCGACTCTGAGTGGCCCGGCCCAGGTGAACCACCTAAGGCGCTGCTCCGCACCCGGCTGTGAGAAACAGCAGAGGGGGCCGCCATTTCCCCGCTCTGACCACGCCCCCACATACAGCGTCACAACCCAGTGACCTGGGAGTCCATGGCGCCGCTTCTCACACTTAAAGGGTGCGTGAACAGACCAAAAATGGCTCAAGAAGATCTCAAAGCCCCAGAAACTATAGATCTAAGCGATGAAGAAATAGCAAAACTCTCAGATGCACAGTTTAAAACACTGGTCATCAGGATCCTCACAGAACTGGTTGATTATAGCCACAAATTAGACAAATATATGAAGGCGAAACTAATTGAAATGAATGGAATTGCACAGGACACCAATAGCAATGAAAAGGAAACTGGGACTCAAATCAATGGAGTGGACCAGAAGAAAGCAAATAATGGCCAAACAGAAAAGAGTCAAGAAGCAAGAATTCAAAGAAATGAGGAGAGTCTTAGGAACCTCCAGGACATCTTTAAATGCTCCAATATCTGAATTATAGGGGTACCAGAAGGGGGAAAAGCACAGCCACCAGTGGAAAACTTACTTGAACAAATAATAAAGGAGAATTTCCCCAATCTGGCAAAGGAAATAGACTTCCAGGAAATCCAGGAACCTCAGAGAGTCCCAAAGAACTTGGACCCAAGGAGGAACACACCAAGGCACATCATCATTACATTAGCCAAGATTAAAATGAAGGAGAGAATCCTAGAAGCAGCAAGAGCTAAGGGGACAGTCACCTACAAAGGAGTCCTCATCAGACTGTCAGCGGATTTCTCAAAAGAGACCTTACAGGCAAGAAGGGGCTGGAAAGAGGTATTCCAAGTCATGAAATCCAAAGACCTACAACCAAGATTGCTCTATCCAGCAAAACTTTCATTTAGAATGGAAGGACAGATAAAGTGCTTCTCAGATAAGATCAGATTCAAGGAGTTCATCATCACCAAGCCCTTATTATATGAAATGTTAAAGGGACATACCTAAGAAAAAGAAGTTAAAGAAACATGAACAGTGAAAGGACAACAAATTCACAGTTATTAACAACCACACCTAAAACAAAAGCAAACTAAAAGGACAGTTAGATCAGGAGTGGAAACATAGAAATGAAGATCTCAAGGAGGGTTAGCAACAGGGGAGTGGGAGGAGGAGAAGGGGGGAGAAGGTACAGAAAATAAGTAGCATAGACAGTAGATAGAAAATAGATGGGGGGGCAAGAATAGCATGGGAAATATAGAATCTAAAGAACTTGAGACACATGGTCATAAACTAAAGGGGGGGTAATGGTGGGGATGGGGGGTAGGTTGGAGGGGAATGAAAGGGGGAATAGAACAACTGTAACAGCATAATCAATAAAAAAATTAACAAAAAAAGAAATTGGACCGGAAAAAAAATTAAAAAATAAAAATTAAAATAAATTAAAAAGATGCTAAGTAAACCATGTAGATTAATACTATGGAAATCTTGTGCAAAGCCTCAAAACAACAAAGTAGATATTTATGTAGTGATTTGAAAAAATGCCCAAGATTTATTATTATTATTTTTTAAAGATTTATTTATTTTATTTTTAGACAAAGGGGAAGGGAGGGAGGAGGAAGGAGAGGAACATCAGTGTGTGGTTGCCTCTTGTGTGCCCCCTACTGGGGACCTAGCCCACAGCCTAGGCATGTGCCCTGACTGGGAATCAAACTGGTGAACCTTTGTTTCGCACCCTGACAGTCAGTCTACTGAGCCACACCAGCCAGGGCAGAATTTATTGTTAAATGAAAAAAAAAGAGGTTATAGAACACAGAACAGTAAGTACCATATGATACTATTTGTGTTAAACACACCCTCCGCCCCCTCAAATCTAAACAGATACCTATTATATTGACAAGAGTGGCTCCCTCTTGGTGGAATTAAAGAAATTTTAGACTTATTTGTATACATTTTTGAAGATGAAAAATGAATACCTGTATTACCTGTTTGATTGAAAGTAAATTTTAGCCCTGGCTGGTGTAGCTCAGTGGATTGAGCGTGGGCCTGTGAGCCAAAGGATCGCAGTTTGATTCCCAGTCAGGGCACATGCCTGGGTTGCAGGCCAGTTCCCAGCATGGGACCATGAGAGGCAACCATACATTGATTTCTCTCCCTCTCTCCTTCCCTTCCCCTCTAAAAATGAATAAATAAAATCTTTAAAAAAAAAAGAAAGTAAATTTTAGAAAAGAAATGTCGAGAATGAAAAATGGCAGAGTTAGCCTTAGCTTTGAATGTGTCGAATGTTTGCCTGCTGTTCGAGTGTGAACTATATCATAGTAGAGCAGCTTACGTTTGTGTTTTGCTTTATGGTAAACAAAGCTTTGCCCTGCATCCCTTGGCTTTATCCTCATAACAACGAGATGGGATGGTGAAGGTCAGTGACATCTCTGTTTGTTTCATAGTTGAAAATACAGTCTCCGAATTTATTCATAGTAAAATTGTGAATTCTCTACCACCTGGGTGTCTCCTCATGTTATTGCTGCATTTAACACCTAGTTTATAATTCAACTCTTTCAGATGAGACACTAAGATTAAACTTTCCACAGGCTGTGGCTTTCCACAGCCAAGTGTGTACTACCACTTCAAAGTAGGTTATTTCCCAAGCCGTGTGCCAAGCAAATCTATTTCATAGGTGAAGTCCTTGTTTCTTCCCTTTCATCTTGCTCAGTCTTCCTAATGTTTTCTTCTGGATGTGGCCCTGTTTTTCTTTCTGATGTTGTTTTCTCTCATTTAACTATTTTTATTTCCTGGTGTATGCACTTGCCCTTTCCATCGGAGACCAGACGGCAGCTCCCTGGCTGAGCTGAAAGGCAGAAGATGTCTCAGCAGAGAGAGGAGAGCGGAGTGGAGCAGACCGTCCAGGAGCTGAGCCGTCTGGTCAGAGACGGGCCTGGCCCCGGCGCTGTCTCATAGCCATGCTGTTTTCACAGCTGCGCCGTATAAAAATTGAGCTGTTTTGCACTGAATCTTCACCGTCCCCCAAAGAGAACTATCATTATTTTCTAAGTGTTGATGCGTAATAACTTAAAATGTTACTTTTCCCAGGTAGATACTTCTTAATTAGGCTCTCTTGAGGAACAGCCTCCAAAGTCCAATGAGGGGGTTAGACTAGATGATCTTTGAAACTCAGCTCAGACATCTGTGTTGCAATGTATCTGTCTTAAATTATGACATTTTGGGGCCTTTCACAAGCTTGAGAATAAAATAATTTTGTTTAGAAATACTTGTCAAAGTCTCCTCAAATCATTTGGTATAGCTCCGGCTTTCTTGGCTACTTCTAAGACACTTCGTCACTGCTCTCCGAGTCCCCGGTGGAGTTGTCTGTGGGGACTATGGAGCTGGGAGTCTGAGGAACTGACCTCTAATCACGATTCAGTATGAATTTCGTGCCTATATAAATGTATGTCAGAAAAAGCTGAGTGGTGTGGAAAGAAAAGGGCTTTGTCCAGGGTTCACTGTTTACTCACCCCATTCATTTATTTTTTTTAAAAAAGATGTGTTTACATTGAGCTGTGACTGGCTTTAGGGGCGTTTTTAGGAGTCAGCAACATGGCAGAAGACATGAAGACCAAAATCAAGAGCTACAAGCCTGCCCCTTTTGATAGCCGCCTCTCCAACCAGAACCAGACTGGGAACTGTTGGCAGAACTACCTGAACTTCCACCACTGGGAGAAGGCAATGGCTGTTACAGGGGGAGACGTTTCCATGTGCAAATGGTACCCGTGTGTGTACAAGTCCCGTCGCCCCATATCCTGGGTGTCAGCCTGGGATGACCACCCGGCAGGAGGCACGTTTCCTGGGAAGATCTGAACTGGCTGCACCCAACCTGTCCTGTCTCTTCCATCCTTCTCCTAAGGAGGTGAAGGGGGACCTGGGTACGTCCCACCCTAGAATCCTAAATCATGGCTTAACTAACAATAAATACTTGTTGGATAAGCGAAAAAAAAATATTTATTTTTATTTTTTAAAGGTTTTATTTATTTATTTTTAGAGAGAGGGGCATGGAGGGAGAGATGGAAAGAAACATCAATGTGTGGTTGCCTCTTGTGTGCCCACTACTGGGGACATGCCCTGCAACCCATACATGTGCCCTGAGTGGGAATTGAACCAGCACCCCTTTGGTTTGTAGGCTGGCACTCAATCCATTGAGCCACACCAACCAGAGTAGATTTTATTTATTTTTAGAGAGAGGGGAAGAGAGGGAGAAAGAGAGGGAAAGAAACATTAATGTGTTAGAGAAGGCCTAACCTGCAACCCAGGCACATGCCCTGAGTGGGAATTGAACCAGCATCCTCTCATTTTGCCGGAAGATGACCAACCCACTAAGCCACACCAGTCAGGACTCACCCCATTCATTTAAAAAACAAACAAATATACAGCATAGGAAATATAGTCATAACATTATAACAACTGCATGGAATTATCAGGGGGAACACTTTATAAAGTATATGATTGTCTAACCATTATGTTGTATACTTGAAACTAATACAAAATGATATTGATTATAAGTCATAATTGAAAAAATAAAATAGTAATGATTTAAAAAGGCAAAAAAGCACCCCAAAACCAACCCAAACCCAATCAAACAAATGGGTATTACATCCTAGTTACTATGCCAGGTTCTAGCAAGACAGTGGTGAATAAGACAAAATTCTCTATCTTCAGTGAGTACTATTTATTGATTTTGAGCATCTTTTCAACTCTCGAATTCTCTTTCCTCTGTGTAAAAGGTGCTGAGAATACGCACTCATATTCCACAAGAATTTCAATTAAGTTGTAGTGTTCTGGTCCATTGTTCTGATGTTGGGTTGTATTACTTGGGTGTGCTGGGTAGGGAAAAAGATCGAAAACTGCTGATCTAGTTCAAGTTCTTCATTTGTAGACGACAGAGTAGAACTCAGAACAATTATAATTGACCATCCCAGTGCCCTTTTTACTTACCATTCCCAGTGGAGTTTCTTCTGGACCCTCAAGAAGTTTTTACAACTTTTGAGGTCTTTTTTTCCCTCCTCTCTGGCCTGTGTGCTCCAGCTCAGCAAAGCACTGTGTTGAGAACAAGCTATGATTGTTCATTCGCATATTCATTTTTTGAAACCCTCACTCGAGGATATATTTATTGATTAGTTTTTAAAGAGAGTGGGGAAACAGAGAAACATTGTTGTGAGAAACTTCGATTGGTTGCCTCTTCTATGCACCTTGACTGCGGATCAAACCCACAACCTAGGTATGTGCCCTGACCGGGTGATCAAACTCACAACCTTTCAGTGCACTGGAGGCCACTCCAACTGAGCCACCTGGCCATGGCTGTGCATTCATTTTGCTCGGCTGGGTTCTTTCTTCACAATTCTCTACCACCGTTTCCCTTCTTGAAATCCAACCATGCAGTGTCACTTTTTTCTAAGGTCATGGCCCCTCAACTTGATGAAGACTTTCCGTTGAATCTCAGAGCACTTTGAATCTTAGTTTACCATCACTATCCATAATCTGTGTGAGCTTTCCTTTCACCCTAGAGTGCAAACTGTGTCCTGTTGCTTTTTTTCTTTCCCCTGGTGCTTAATGCAGTGCTTTATAGCAACTGGTAAGTAAATAATCTTTGATGAAATTGAAGACTTAAAAAAATTTTAATGTGTTGATTGATTGGAGAGAGAGACAAACATTGATTTGTTGTTCCTCTTATTTATGCATTCATTGTTGTTTTTCATATGTGCCTTGAACCCACAACTCTCATGTGCCAGAGTGATGCTCTAACCAACTGAGCTACCCGGCCAGTACATGAATTGAAATTTGTGAATCAGATCAATGACATGATAGCAATAATACATGACCAGCTCACCATAGAATGTTATTGTGATAATAAAATGAGGCAATGAATATGAAGCAAATTTTGACAGTTTTTCACAGTAATACAATCAAGGAGGATGACTAAATAGAAAGTAGTCTGGGAGCTGATTCACATTTGAAATAGTTAGAAAAGTAAATGTTACTTTCTTTTTTGCCTGGAGACGCTGAACGTTGGAAGATTTAATCGTTGTTTTCTTTTTTTTCCCTATGATTTTTATTTATTTATCTTTAGAGGGGAAGGGAAGGAGAGAGGGAGAGAAATATCAACGTATGGTTGCCTCTCATGCATCCCCTGCTGGAAACTGGCCTGCAACCCAGGCATGTGCCCTGACTGGGAATTGAGCCACAGTACTTTGGTTCACAGGCCCGCACTCAATCCACTGAGCTACAAACAGCCAGGGCTGCTGGTTTTTTTGTTTGTTTGGGTTTTTTGTTTTGTTTTTTTAAAGGCTGTCAAGTGGTAAACATTCTGTATTTCTGTAGCCCCTGAAGAGAAGTAGATTTCAATTCATCAGGTGGCAGAACGGTCTAACACTTAGAGCTGTTCAACAATGGAGCCGGCTGCCTTACTGAGGGTAGTGAGCTCCCTAAAATTTGAACAACTGTTGAAATAGAAGTTGGACGACCTTCTGGCTGGAATGTGCAAGAGGGAATTCCTGCCTGGGCAAGAGTTGGACTGAAGACCTGTAAGGTGTATTCCGACTAAGGTTTCTACGGCTTTTCAGCTTAGTTGATTATCTGAACTGTCTTTGTGAACAGTTTTTTTTTTTTAAATTAAATTATCAATCAACTTAAAAGCTGTATGGTCAAGCTTACAATAAGTAAAATTTGATAAAACGAGGAGTGGGAAATCAGGTTTAAATGTCCAGCTACCACTAAAGGAGGAGGGCGGAGAGAGGGGGTGGAGAAGGAGGGGGGGATGGTGGAGGAGGAGAGGGGGTAAAAGGAGAGGCAAAAGTTTGTGTTTGGAACGATGCGTCCTGGGCAAGTGACAGTTGTTATCGAAAACGTAAGCGCTCTAAGTTGTTTCACTTTACACAAACACTTGTGCATTTTTCACGTCCAGCAGTACCGTAAGCAGAAGTGAGAGTCTGTGTTTGGTGAAGACAATTTCCCGGAAGGGGATCCACGGTACTGCGGTCGCCCAGGACCGTGACACCGCCGAGCCCACTTGGCCCACTGGAGCGGAAGGGCCCCGGCTGGCCGCCCGCCCGAACTACCAGCCCCAGTGGTCCCCGCGGCGCTGCGCACGCGCGATGGCGTGGCGGCAGCGCCACCTCAGGACGCAGAGAAGGCAGCTAGCGACTGGCTGCGACGGTGGCGGCGGCGGCGCTGGTGGCAGTTCGCGGCGAGGGCGACTGCTCCGAGGCCGAGTGACGAGCGGGCGGGGACCTCGGTTCCTTCTCCTGCTTGATCCTCTGGTGAGTGTCCGTCCCCAGTAACCCGCGCCGGGTGCACAGCTTCCTGTCCGGCGACCGGGCTGCTCTGGCCTTGGGCCGCTGCCTGCGCCTGTCGGCCGGGCCGTGGGGTTCAGCTGACCCCGGGGCCCTTCCCTACAGTGACTGGGGAAGTGGGGGTGGGCAGAAACTCGGTGAGACCGAAGGGAGAAGTGTTGCGGAGCGCTCGCGCCAGGCCGCCTGGGGCGGGCGAGAGGGAGGGTCGCGTGGGGGATGGGATGCGAGGCGAAGCAGGTGGGAAACCGAGCATTGGAGGCGAGAATGAAATGGAACGTCTTCTGAGTGCGGCCGGTGAAGGTGTATCGTCGCCTCGGGGACTCTGAACAAGCGGGACTCACCAGCCTGGCGGGCAGCCCACCTACCTTAAACACAGACTATACTTGGTGGTTCTCCCCGGCTGTTGGAGGTATGGGGAGTGAGGGACTGTCGGTTGCTTTCATCTCCTTTTCCTCAATCTCACCTTCTATTGACTGGCAAAATTTAAATGGGTGCTGGCTAGGCAAACCGTGGAAATGAACAGGGCTCTGTGCATAAATCTGCGTAAAAATAGGGAGGCATGGTGATTTGTTCAGGTTGAGAGATAGGTCAAAGAAGATTTCAGTGTTTTTATTTTAAAGTTGGTGACAAAAATTAGTTTGAGCAAGGCTTTGAACTAGGAAGGGTTTTTAACCCGAGATTCAGTGGTTGGTGAATAGAACTGGATGGGGGGAGGGGCCAGCTGTAATTTATTATTTTCCTCAGTTATAAATGTAGCCAACAAAACACTGTAGAATTAGCAATGCCTGTGACTTTGTCACCGATGAAAATTACAGATATTATTGTATCATCTTTACAGTTGTTGCAGATAGCTCAGAATATCATTTATGCTTTTGATTTCTTCAAATTTATGGTATTGTTAGACCCAGTGTCTCACCTCGTTATTTAATGTAATGGTCAACCTGCACATACATTACTATATCAGTGCTTTTAAAAATTGTTTTGCTAACAGTTCAGTGTAATTGGTTTCCTTTGTAATCTCATGTATTTAATTACGTATTTAAAAGCAATCTGAGAAGGGTTCCATAGGCTCCACCAGACTGCCAAAGACATTCATAAAAAAAATATTTAAGAACTCCTGAAGTAGAAATAAGTGTTTTGGGATCTGGAGGTCTGCCTGGAAGAATAGTTGAATCATTGGATGAGAAAGAAGACAAGCAGATAAGATGATAAATGTAGATGAAAGAGGGAATTTTGTAATCAGGGGAGTAAAAGAGAAGTGTTGGCTGAAATCAGAGTAAGAGTTTTGGGAGATAGAATAGACCACAGGTGTTGCATTCAGGGTCTTGGGGAATCAGCAAAATGAGTGGAGGAAGAAAGGGTAGTGAATACTTTGGCTTTAAAATGTTAGTATTATTGCACCTTCTAGTTCCAGGTGATGAAGCCCTCCAAGCTATTGCGTGAGCCTGTGAAAGGAAGTTTTAGTGGGTGCTGGTTTTCTTTAAATCATGTGGATAGTGTGGCTTTTAAAGAATTGTTTACCCTTAAGTGAAAACCTCAGGATCTCTCTTCAAATATATTTTCCTATTGCTCTTACCTTCTTTTCATATGTGATAGAAAGGAAATGTGCAGATTGTGGAGTTGGAGAGTTGGTAAGGTTTTTCTTTTTTTTTTTTTTTTGAGATTTCATTACAAAATTTTTAAAAGATTTTATTTATTTATTTTTAGAGAGGGGAAGGGAGTGAGAAAGAGAGGGAGAGAAAGGTAGGTTTGAGAGAGAGAGATCCATCCGTTGCTTTTAGTACGCACCCTACCAGGTACTGAACCCGCAACACAGGCATGTGCGTGCTCTGACTGGGAATCGAACTGGCAACCTTTTGCTTTATGAGAGGACACCCACCCAACTGAGCCGCACTGGTGTCTGTACCCATTTAAAATTTTTGCAGTTCAACTTCATTTTTGTGTCAGACTTCTCACTGACAAACGACTCAACTTTTTTTTTTAGAGTAAGTATGACTTGAAATTTGCACCTGTTTGTAAAGTACCTGTCAGCATCTGGTATGAGATTCCCCCCTCTAAAAATAATAGTAATAATGGAAAACCACTGCTGCACACATTTTCTGGAAAAAAATAAAGGTGGGATATGGAAGAGTGAAGAAGAGTATTTTATGAAACAGATGTTGATGCTGAAATCGTAGTTTATGTTGTACTGAACACACCATTTCACAGATCACTGCCTTGGAGGGGTTTTGCCTGGTGCTTTGCTGTGTCCTTTGTCACTCTTTGTCCCCTGTCCCTATGTTTTATTTATAGCATCTTTTTATCATATACATTGTATATTTATTTAGTGTTATATTTTATATATTTTTAAAGATTTTATTATTTTGAGAGAGAGAGGAAGCAGGGGGAGAAGGGGAGAGAAACAACCGTGTGTGGTTGCCCCTCACGCACCCCCACTGGGGACCTGGTCGGCAACCCAGACGTGTGCCCCGACTGGGAAGCAGACCAGTGATCCTTTGGTTCCCAGGCTGATGATCAATCCACTGAGCCACACCAGCCATGGCTGTTTAGTATTTTAATTTTTGTCTCCCTATTAAAATGTTAGCTCTGTGAGAATAGGAACTTTGTCTTCAAAGGAATAGTGGCTGGCACTTAATAATTCTTAATAATTAGTAAATACTTGCTGATTGAATCTGAACTTTTTAAAATATATTTTTATTTTAGTTTTTAATTTTTAAGTGTTACATTTTTTAAAAGACAGGAAATTATTTTCCAAACACCTTTTGGTGCTTTTGTGGGCCTTCCCTAGGTTGGTATAAGTGACTGAATTTTTCACATAAGATAGATAAAAATGTTTAATGCCTGATAGTATCAAATATTAGCGAAGATGTGGTTGGACATGGTGATTTAGAAACTGCTGGAGTTTACATTGGTACAGCTGCCTTGAGAGACAATATTTGCAGTGCTTAGAAAAGTTGAAAATGGGCACACATCTCCTGTAATTTCACAATTTTTGGAAGGCAGTAAAAATAATGGGAGGTGATGATAGACGGGATGATATCCGTAGTTTTTATTTAAAGACTACAAGCAACTATGACAGTGTTTGTTAACAGTCACTTCTGGGAGCCAGAACACAAGTGGTAAATCATTCTTTGTATCTTTCTGTTGATATTGTTTTGGAATCCATAACTTTTAAATGTTTCCCAACTCTTTGAAAAAGTATAAGCCTATAGAGGAGTTGCAAGAGTAGCATAATAAACACACATACATTCTTCGCCTAGATTCAGTAATTGTTAACATTTGCCGTGTTTGGTTTCATAAACAGTAGACATATTTTGCTGAACTTTGCCAGTAGGTATAGGTACCATCAACACACTTTTCCTGAAAATACTTAAGGATGTATTTCGAAGAACAAAGACTTTCTTCTATATATCTACAATTCAACTGTCACCCTCAAGAAATTTAACATAGATGCAATATTATTTAATGTACAGTATATATCCAAATTTCCCCAGTTGTCCCAATATCACTCTTAGTTTTTCAGTTTTTGTTTTTGACCCAAGATGCAATTAAGGATCTCATATTTAGTTGTCTGCTTGTATCTGAAATCATTTAGCACCTATTTTTTTGGTCTTTCATGGCAGTAAGCATCCAGACCAGGTTTTGTAAGATGCCCCTTGATTTGGATTTGTCTGAACATTTCTTGGTGTTCAGATTCAAGTTGAACATTTTTGGCTGTGCAGGTGATTTTAGGTTCCTTTCTGTGTATCACATAGAGGCATGAGATGTCAGTTTCATTATTGATGAAAATTTGATGGTTATTGTAAAGGCACCCCTTTTTCTTTCGTAATTAATAAGTAATTATGGAGTGATAATTTTAAAACTTCCTCAAAGTCATGAGTTGTTTATAGACATGCCAGTATAAAAGGTCAAGAAAATTTAGATTGGAGGTACTCTTAATGGATGTATATAGGAGATGGGATTTGAACTGGACCTTAGTGTAATTGGCTATAGGAATATTGGAGAAGGGCTCCAGGCGAAGGGAACCATTGAACAAAGACAAGGACAGTTTTGTAAATTAAATTGGAGATCATTTGAGACTTTCCTCTCTCCTTTACTTTTTCCCTCATTCTCTCTTTCTCTCCTCTCCCTCTACAGGGAGATTGCTCACAGTGAATCCGAAGTCAGTATTCTGGAGAAGAACCAGAGAGTAAACAAATCGAGTTTTGAATTCCTTCTCTGCCACATAATAGCTGAATGAATAGGTGGTGAGTTATGTGACTTTTCTCCTAGTTTCTCATCTGTGAAATGAAAGTGATAAATACCATGTAGGATTAAATCTAATAATAATCATGTATGAAAAGCACCAGCAGCGTGTCTTTCACTCAGTAATTGCTAGTTACCTTTTGGTGCTCCAGCTCTTAAACTGCTTTCACTCTTTTCCACCTTGGTACCACATCCCTGACCTTAAAGCAAGCCCTACTCCTCTGGTGCCTTCTTGGCCACCATCACGGTGCCATCACTTCCCACTTCACCCAGTTGGCCCCAGTCTGAGTTTGTGAGCCGCTTTCCAGTGATGGCACATAGTGCCTACCACCTTAGGAGGTGATGTGGCCTGATACTATCATTCTGGAAGTTGTAACCGTATGTATCAACTTCTTTTTTGGCTCAGTTCACATTACAGCATTTGCCACGCTTTGAATGTGATGTGCTTCAGTTTAAATTCATTTTATTTCAAAAGTTACCCCTCATACTTATATGGAATTGAAGAGGGAAAGTGGATATATCCTGACGGTAAGCCAGTACTTGGAAAGACCAGTACTTGAAAACAATTTTCTGAAATGGTTAATTAATTCTTTTCCCTTTCAAGTTTTCTGTTTTTTCACCATACGTATTTTCTTTATTTTTTAAAAAAAGATTTATTTATGTTTAGAGAGAGGGAGGGAAAAAGAGAGGGAGGGAGAAAGAGAGGGAGATGATTGCCTCTCGCGTGCCCCCTACTGGGTACCTGGCTTGCAACCCAGGCATATGCCCTGACTGGGAAGCATCCGTCCTCTGGTTCGCAGGCCCGGGCTCAGTTCACTGAGCTACACCATCCAGGGCTGTTTTCTTCTCTGGAGTTAATTTTTTCTTAGGCAAGAAGGATTTCAGCATTGTTTTCATATTTGAAGTGCCTAAACTTGTGTTTGCATAGAATTATTTGAGGCTTTAACTCTTTAAGTAATCCTGATCAAGATGTTTTCATTTGTAAAACCAATAATTTCTGTATTATAAATGCATGTTGGAGGAAGCTTTAGGTACTTGATTTCTGTTTTCTTAAATTATAGACAATTAAAGTTTCCTTCTTTATGCATATCTGAATTTTCTGAATTTTTCAGAATGTCTTACTATATATTATGATTTTGTAAAAACATTTTTAGAAAGGCAGGTTTTATTGTTCCTAAGCTGAAACCGGCTCTTGAACTTGCAATGCAGTGGTCAAAAGAAGAGGGGAATGTCTTTTGATACTTGAGGTCCTTTTTCTAATATACATGAATGAGTAGTTGAGCAAATGTTTAAAAATTTAAAAAACAGGCTTTTCCAGGGGTCTTCATAGTGTCTCTTTTTTTTCTTCTAAGTTTGAAGATGAAGCTTCAATGTATGAACCTTTTTTAAAAGCCACTTTTTAAATGTAAGGCTTTAAGCATACTGCTGTAAGTGTAAAAACAGGCAAGATGTCTGCTCATTAGTGTAAGATGACTGTCCTGAGGTGCTTGCTTGGTCTTGCGCCCAGGTAATGCCGGAACACCCACGCTGCAGACTGGTGGAAAGCATGTTGTCAAACATGTTCAGTTCTTTTCTTTTTTTTCCTTACTAATTTGTTTTCAATATATTTTGTATGAGTGTTTGAAAGGATTAAATCATGGTTTTCCTATTGGAAATTTTTAAAGACAAAAAAATTAGTCAAGGAATATTAGCCTTTTTCCTATATTTTCAGAATCAGAATCCATTTTTCTTCCCAGGCAATCTTAATTTTTAGTTTAAAGCATCAGTTCTTTTTTAAAAGTTGATTTTAGGGAGAGAGAGAGAGGGAGAAAGAGAAACATCAGTTTGTTTTTTCACCCATTTATGCATTCATTGGTTGATTCTTGTATGTTCCCTGGCTGGGGATCAAATCCTTAACCTTGATGTGTTAGGATGATGCTCTAACCAACTGAGCTGCCTGGCCAGGGCTGCAATTTTAATTTTTTTCAAATACATGTAGTTTTGAAGTTTTTAGGACTTAAGCTAAATTAATTTATTTTCAACCCACTTTGAACTGTAACTGTCTGCTTTCACTTTCTAAGACAGGACTGTGACCCATCTCTTAATTTTACTTCCATTATTTATAAATCCTGACTACTTTACAAAAATACATTAGGTCTAAAAGTCATAGCACTTAAGGCAGAATTGCAGAGTGTTTATAAATACAGATTTCTTTACCAGAAGAACTTAGGAAAGAATAGATGAGTTCTTTTTGAAAAATTATCTCATTTTTATTATCTCCTTTAGAACCCAAGGAATCTTTGATTCCTTTCAAACAGAATGCCTTTTAATGTGTAACTGTTCAAGATTATGATGGGTCAACTTGGATTCTGATGGAAAGTGACTTATTAAGCTTCTTTATTCCAGCATTTCAAAACATCATCATAACAGTAATGATAATAATAGCTAACATTTATTGAGTTATTTTTTGTTTTCTAGGCATTATGTAATCCATTTAAAATTACCAAATCCATAATTCTTTGGAGACATCTTAGTGGTTTATTTCTTTTGGAAAAAAATATTTTAACTAACTAAGTAATTTTGTGTGTGTGTGGTCCAGGAAGTTCCTTTTAGGTTAACACAGTCAATGGTAGTAATCTCATTTGAAGTTGGATAATCAATATTTATAATTTTATGAACCACCAGTCTGATAAATGCGGATGGAATGGACCTGACAGCCTGCTGTTCACATTGTTTCTCTTCATTTTTCGGGTGGACTCCTGGGTTTTGAAACAGGCTTTACCAGTAATACAGCTCAGCAGAAATGTAGCTGAAGCTTCCTCAAAGCATGTGGGTGGTGAATTCTTCCTCTTAGAAGTTTGCAGAGGGTTCCAAAGGTTTTAGGTTTTTCTTTAGTTATTTGGTTTATCTTGATCTCCAGATTTATATATGTCTGAATGAGTTGTCATTAGAGATTATCGAATAGGAAATTAGATTGGTGATATTTAATTATAGACTAATAGAGTTAATGGACATTTATCTCATTGGGAAAGTTCTTGATCCCCATTTCTGCACTTGGTGGATATTTTTGTATCATTTATTGCCTCTGGGAAATAAAGGGATATGATTTTAATGCCTTTGTAATTCTGCTTATTGGTGTGTAGCTTGCTGTTGTTGAAGTATGTCTAGAAATTAAGGACTGTGTTCTTTTCATTGGATGAAAAATTTCATGTTAAATATGTTGTATTCACAGAATTTGTCTGGTCCTGAGTGTTTAAGTAATTCACACTAGCAGGCAGATCTTTCAGTGGGGAAGAATCAGGGCCAAGTTGGTTTTTTTCTTTTTTAAAAAATTACCAAAGTAATAAATATTCTTTGTTTAAAAAACAACTAAAAACAATGCAAAAAGGAAGTCTTTTCTTCCTCACATATATATTTACATACTATATGCTTTGGGTTTTTCCTTTTTTTTCTCCTAAAATTACACTTAATGCTTGTGCTTGCTAAGTGCATTACGTATATTAACCCATTGAACCCTCTCAGCCCTATGAACATACCCTATGGAGTAAGTTCTGTTTTTTGTCCATTTGCAGATGAAGAAAGTGAGGCAGAGAGAGGTAACTAGCCACAGGTTGCACACCGAGTTTCAGCAGCACTGAGATTCGGGCGTAGGTGGTCCTGCCCCAGGGTTTGTGTTTCAGCCCCTGTGATGCCTCTGGGACCTTACCGTGCATACTGTGCTGCGGTTTGCGTTTTTCTCTCAATGATACGTGCTGGGCATCTTTCCGAGTACGTCTACTACTTTCTTTTTAATAATTACCTGCATGCAGTATTCCAGAATAGGGGCATACCATAACCTACTTTCGTGTCTTTTAGACTCAGTCTTCTTTAATATTGCCAGTCCCAGTGGTAATGATTTCAGGAATATTTTTTTCAAGTAAAATAGGTTTATTTATAAGTATTTTTATATCTCTTAATACACAGATAAAACATTGATGGGAACTTGTGATTTTTATGTGGTTGCATACAAATCAAGGAATATTTTTAAAAGTCAAGATTTGTGACCTGGAATAGTATTTGCTAAGTAATGCGTATTAACTGTCCAGATGTGTGATATTCTCTCAGTTGAGTTGTATAGTTTAATGAGGCTTAACTCACGGCCATTTGTTATGCGTGGCTTTATTATTTTTGTGATCAGCCTGTCTTCTTTAGCTCTAGGAAATTAGTCGTGTATTGGTGGTAAAATCAATACCTGTTTGGGTTTTACTTATTTCCTTTTGTCAGGGTCTGGAATTTTGGTGTCATAACAAGAAGTCTGTACTGCTGATTTGACTTTTGGGTATATTCTGGTTTTATATTACTTGCATCTTCAAAGTAGTCAGCATTGCAATTTCCTGTACTTGTGCCAGGAACAGTTGCTACTAAGTCCATTCTTTCTTCTACAATATTTTACTCTTGTTTCAAATATACCAGCTAAAGATATTAAAGTATCACTTGTTACCATTTTTATCCACAATGATAGCATTTCTCAATTGTGAGGAAATTTTTTTTTTGTTCATTGATAATTATTGCAAACATGTTCATTGGAGAGTTAGTAAATATCTTCAACTTAAATTTAGTTATTGTTCCTAAATTGTTTTGGAAGTGATTAGCAGCAGCTTGGTTGATTGCTAACTGGAGCATTGCTCTTTATCATTCAATAAATTATTTATAAATTCAAACATTTATTTAGCACTTGCTAACTGCTACTGCTAGTCCCTCCGCCACCTAATGGGGATATCAAGAGGACTATGTCCCCACTTCAGGGAGCTTGGTGGTTTATTCAGATAACCTTTTGTTGTAAACAGTGTAAACTGCTGTGATAGAGATGAATCCAAATGAGAAAAAAATCTGAGTCAAGAGAGTGGCCAGTAATGCCTCCTCAGTTAGAGGTTGGCCCAGAAGCCTAAGTGGGATTTAACTGGCCAGTGAAAGGAGTGACGGGAATAGAGTATGTATAGGAATCTGGTCTGTGAAAACCACTGGAAACTGTCATGAGAATGTA